GGCAGCTCACGGCTGCTCAGCTCGGGCTGACTCGAACCGCTGTTGCTCAGAGCTCAAACTCTTGAGCGAGCTCTTAACCAACTGAGCCACTCAGCTGGCCCTGTCCCTGAGTTTTTAATGCAGAGTTTGACCTGGAGTCTTACTTAAACTACTACAGTGTGGTAGAATGAGTTTTGGATTTGAAGCTAGAGGAGAAGAGAGAAGGAAAATCACATTTCCTAAGTGCCTACCCTTCATCATTCAATTCATCGTATCTTTCTTAAGCTCCTACTATGAGCCAGGTATAGCAGCCAGGCACTGCAAGGCAGTGGTGCAAGGGACATGGGTCTGGCACCCAGGCTGTCTGAGTTTGAATGCCAGCTCCACAGGTTAAGTGGAACCCACCATTAAGTGGGATCTTAACAACTTTTTATATCTCTTCTGTTGTGCTTCAGTATGTCCATCTGTCAAGTTAGGATTCTAATAGGATTGTTTTGAGGATGAAGTGAATCAATAATGTAGAATGAGATGATGATGATGATGACGACAACAATGATGATAACAATGGGATGGGTTGGGACCATGACACACCCAGACCCTTCATTAATCTCATGCTGCTCATGGCCACGCATGCGTGTGTGTGTGCATGTATGTGTGTGTTGTGCATGTGTGTGTGTAGGGCTGAGGTCCTGAGGGATGGTATTGGAGTGTGAGACAGATGTATATGATTAAGCACTGTGAAGCATGGTGAGTATTACTAAAGGAGAGGGGAAGGGTTTTGTGGGAGAGTATGGTGGGGGACCCAGCCTCCCTTCCAGGTCAGAGAAGCACACTGAAAAGAGCGATGTTTAAGCTGAGATCTAAAGGAGGAATAAAAGTTAGCCGGGCTGCAGGTGGTGAGGGGAGGTTGTGCTCTGTGTTCTGGGTAGGAGGAACAGGGTATGTGAAGGTCTGAAGGGGAAACCCCATGGTGTTTAAGAAACAGAAGCAAACCAGTGAGCCTAGAGCATGGGGCGTGCAGAGAGTGGTCGGAGACTGGGCTGGCAATAATAAAGGCAGAAACCAGACCATGGGACATTTGTGAGTCATATTAAGGAGTGTGGGTGACTGAGAGCCAGATACTGTTCTTGGGGGTCTTCATTAATTCCTTCAAGCATCACAACTCTGTGATACAGGTTTTACTAGCCCTATTTTGTTGATGGGGAAGTCAAGGCTCTAAAAAATTGCCACCTGTCCAAAGGCACAGACTTAGAAGGTGGTAGAGACAGGATTTGAACCTAGGCTTCTCTGGTTCTAAAGCTAGAGTTCTTTTGCTGACACCATATCCTTCTGAACTTGAGGTCTGACTGTTAGTTTTCTGACTTTGGGCCACCTTCTTAATTTCCTTTAACTTCAGTTTACTCACCTGTAAAATAGGTACTGTATTAATAAATACCAGCCTCATAGAGTTGTGAAAACAAATGGAAATATACTCCAAGTGTCAAGTCCAGTGCCTGGCATATAGCAAGTTCAGCAACTGCTTTTGGATGCAGATTCTTGACAGAGGAATGTGTTTCCTTCACGGTCCCAGGAACTGAGACAGAACCTCATGAGCTGCCCTCTGCATGTGGCTTAGTTGTCAGTCATCTTCCCAAGGCTCAGTTGAAATTCACGTAGAAATCTCGTCTGTGCACAGGCAGTCTACTCCTGCAGGTACTTAACAGGTCCCAGGACAGTGGGCTGTCCTGCCCTGCAACCCTGCAATCATTTGCACCTCACCTTGCTGGTAGGAGTGACCCTGAGTCTTCTCTAGCTCTCCCCAGCATCCTTCCCCGCTTGGGCTCCCTGATCATCCTTTTCTAACGCCTCCAGGGTCCACTGGGCTTGTTCTGCCGACACCTGATGTGAGCTCTGCTGCTGATCTGAATTGAATTTAACTTTCTTGTTGTTGTTTACCTTTTCTCATGTTGGTCTCGAGGGCAGACATTGTCTTATCTCTGTATTTCCTGTGGTGATTAGCACAGTAACATCATAGGTACTCAGTCGATTGCCATTGTTTTCACCAGGATAGGGCTTTTTGGCTATGAAGGCTCTTTTGTATAGCTGTTTTTTTTTTTTTAATCTTCACAACAGTCCTCTGAAGTAGACAGAGCATCTAGTATTCTTTTTAGCACAATTGGAGAAACTATGGCCTACACTTAAGCAATACGACTATTAATTGATTCTTTAATTCTGGAGTAGACATTTAGGTGTAACTGTCCCGTGGGCTAGGAAAATAGAGCTAAAAGACATCATCCCTTCCCTCAAGGATGAGGCAGACATTTGAACAAATAATTATATAGAGCAAGTGAAGTTTTAGGATAGAGGAATGATGGAAGTGTTTAACTTTATTTGGGGAAGATCAGTGAAAAATTCAGAGAGGAATAGGTGGTTGCATGGGGCCTTAAAGGACTGACTTCACGATGCAGAAAGGGTGGGAGGAAGGGCATCCAAGACAAAGGAAATGACATACACCAAAGCCCAGAGAAACGAAAGGACAGGCACTTGGGAGGCCCTGCAGCATGAGCGTGGCTGTCAGGAGCTGGATAGCCGTGGGGTGGGGGTAGAAGAGAAAGATGGAGATAACTGCCACCGGTAAGACCCCAACTCGTAAGACTTACAAGAAACTGAAAGCTTCCTTCCTAGTTTCTTCCCCTTCATTCAGTCTCCCAACCCCTGCGCCTTCTTCCCATCGGAAAACACAGCCTATTCATAAACCACCTCTAAGCTTTGGACGGACTTTCCTTTGCCCTGCTCCCGTGTACCCGCAGCTTGTTTGCACATAGATTTGTAATCTCCTTACCATGCTAAAAGAAAATGCATCCAATCACATGAGCGACCTGCAACCTGACAACTTGGAAGAAGGGTCACCAGGTGAAAGACATCTGTGTCATTAACTCCGTGGCGTGAGGTACCTGAGAAAGAATAAAGTCCATCTGTGACCAAACACCTGTGTTCCTCTCGCGTGGGCAGGGTCACCAGAGGGGCGTGATAAATTGCTCTTCAAATGCATCAGACCCGTTGTTTTCCTAGGAGACAGGACTGGCCCAGCTTGAGCTCCGTGGGCAAGTCTGACCAGGCCCATCTCACTCCTGCCTGTTTGTTTGCCTTGCAGCTGTGTAAATGAGTATGGAAGATTATGATTTCCTGTTTAAAATTGTTTTAATTGGCAATGCTGGTGTGGGGAAGACGTGCCTAGTCCGACGATTCACTCAGGTAAGAGAACTCGGGAGTCCAGGGTTGGCTTTCTCGGTCTGGCCTGCAGGGTTAGGGGAACCTAACAGCATGGGGGACTGGCCCAGCGCTGGCCTTTTGGCTGCCAATTCTTAAGGCACCCTTTGAAAGTACACCAGCTTTGTAGCCTAGACTAGAATTTTTTAAACCATCTCAAAGGAGCATGGCTCTGTAAGTCACCACCACCCTCCCACACTTCTTGTTGCTTCCTTTAATGAAACGGGCAGGTAGTTTTGCTTTCAGTGTGCAGTAGCAAACATAGCTTGTTAGATTAAAAGATTATTAGTAATAATCCAAAATTGGAAACAAATGAACCTGGACATCAAATTAAACCTAAATATTAATTTTTTAAAAACTCAAATACAAACTAAACCAATCAACTCCCTGCCTGTGCCCCCTTATGTCTTTCCAGAAAACTGAACAAATCGTTTTGGTTCAGAACTAAATATGCTGATTTTTCTAGATTTATTAAATGGGAATGAAATGAAAATAGTGAAGGACTATTTGAACTAAATTAAATGTTCCCTCTGAGTTGGGTCCTTATCATATGGTCTAAGTACAAGTTTCCTGTGGGGCTGCCCTTTTGAGAAGTACTGCCAAGATTATATACCTATTTTTATACGGGAATGGGTAGGAAATCATTCTGAAGTTGACCTTCTTTTGTGTTTTCCCGGAAAAACATGACTGGCATTCTTTTCAGGATTATCATGCATGCATCTTTCATTTTCAGAAAGTTCTAGTTGGGAAAGTGGAGACTAGTTCTTCTATCTAAGACATAGGGCAACCTGATGTCATGGAAAGCACGTTGGCTTAGGAGTTAAGACACAGGTCCTAGCTCTGCCCCTGGCCCATCCTGTGAGCCTGGGTAAGTTACCCACCCTTGCTGGGATTCCCTGCCTTCCTGCTGCACATAAGGAGCCTGGTAATCTCCAAGGCTCCTCGTAGCCCTGACAGTCTGTGGTTCTGTAGAAAACTGGAGAAGCAGATTGGATAACACCAACAGCATTAGGGCAGAGAGTCACCTTTGGAAATGCCAGGGTTTTCCCCATGGTAATGAACACAGACTAGAGCTCATGCTTTTTACTAAGCCTTAGCCTGGTGACATCAAAAGGAACAAGCTAACGCATTTGGGCTCAGTTAGCCACCCTGACGTTACATGAGAAACTCCAAGTGGTTTTACTTCCACCGAACATTAGTAATCTTTTCTGCTTTTGACAGGAGGACAAGACTGCGAGATGTAGAGAAGTTGTGACTCCCTTTTTCAAAAATTCCCTTGACCTCATCTTATTTACTGAAAGATCCCTTAGAGATTATTCAGCCCACTGCTCTTTCATCTTTACAGATGTAAAACTCAGGTCTAGAGGGATGAAATGACTTCTTTGCAGCTCATGTCACGTTAGTGGCAAGGCTAGGATTAGTTCTAACCCAGGTCTCCTGGTCCTCAGCCTGATCATTTTTATCTTCTGCATGTCTTAGCCTCTGAGACCATTAGGTATCTTGCTTTTCTCTTTAAAAGCATAAACCTTGTCATTAGAGGAAAAAATGCTTCCATTTTTTCAACACTAATTTTTATCAATAAGCACACCACTCCTTATTTTTCATTTCTGTCCACTTTTTACTCCTCCGAGCCTCTCAACTACCCCCAAAAGTTCAGATTTCATAGGCAGGTTATGTTTGTTTTTGTTATTTAGTAGACAGTTAAAATGAATTAGATTCAGCTGTTTTTGAGGCATGAGATTTGGGGGAACAAAATGATGGGGGAAGACATTGGGAAGGATTTGTTTCATGTTTTGGCATTTGTTAGACTACAAAACAGCTGGAGCTATAAACTTAAAGCTTGGCAGCCTTGTGTTTGAGCCAAACCAAAATAGAAGAAAATTGATTCAATATTTGCAAGTAAAGTTATGAATGTTTATGTTTACATCTTTTGCAGACATGCAGTGGAACATTTTCGGTTGGTTTGAAGCTCAGTCTTTTAAGTTTCAACTTTAATTAAAGAATTCTCTTGTTAGAGAATGGACTTAATTACAGATGCCCCAATCTTAGCTTCCAGAGCTAATAAAGTCCTTTTTACTTTAATGTCTGGGAATTGTGGACTATAAGTGAAGAGGGAAGAGGAACTAGGTGAAGTGTTCTTTCTTGATAGAATTCCTTCCTACCTCCAAGTCCCTCCCTAAGTCTACAGGAAATATTATGTAATAGTAAATTACATTTTACATGTAATTTTGCTAAAATCTCTCTAGTTCCATTTCCAATTTGAGGGAAAGCTTTCTTTGTTTTGAAATGCTTACGTCAACCTAAAACTCGCTGAATTTGAGGCCCAGCGAGGGGGACTGGTTTGTCTGAGGTCACACAGATATCTTAAGGCTGCTGCCTCCTTGGGTTTGTGCTATTTCTGCTATCCTTTCTCCCAAATGACTTTGTTTTCTTCAATTACCTTCCCAGGATCATTGGCCCTAATCTCATGTAATTACGCGTATATCTTAATATGTGTGTGGTACAATTGAGGGAAATATAATAGTAATCACCCTAAGGGCAGAGGGATATCCAGAAGCTTCACTGTATCATTCATGTTTCTCAGACTGAGTTCTTGCTGGGTGTTTCATATTGGTTGTCCACCCCCACGGCTGTCCATACCCTAGACTGATAGCCAGTTGTAATCTTCCTTGCTTTTACCTCTTTCAGAGCACCGATCCATTTTGCCCTCACCTTCACCATCCCAACCTCACCCCTGTGCTCCTCAATCTTATCCTTATGTCTGATTTTTGTTTCTTTCTTTGAAATCAGACCCCCCTGACCTTTCCCAATTCTCTCCCTTCCCTCTCTATCTTCCTCTCCCTTTCTGTGTCCCCTTTCTTTTTCTTTCAGAAATTTTCTCTCCCGCTATCTCCTTCCCCCAAAACATACCTACATACGAAGTTAAATAAAGGGCCTCCATGACACTAACCAGGGTTCTCTTTACTACCAGTTAACTCAGCCAAAGGAAGGGGCTGGTGATGGGTAGTGATGGGGGAGGAGGCAGAATATCATTTAGTTGAAAGATTCGCTTAATTGTTATTTTCCATTATTTTTTCTTTAGGGTCTTTTCCCCCCAGGTCAAGGAGCCACAATTGGAGTTGATTTTATGATTAAGACAGTGGAGATTAATGGGGAAAAAGTAAAGGTAAGATGCTAAGTGTTCATAAGGTTTTTATTGTGCTATGTGAGAGGAAGTAGTATTTTCATAACATTTATTATGTCTCCTAATTAAAAGCCCCATTGAAAATAATATACTCAGCCATGGCAGCTTATTTCTAAACAGAGTTCTTCTATTTCCTTTACGGGGGCAGGAAGGGGTTCGGGATGATGTGTTTATAGATGGGAAGACAGAGGAAGAAGGGCTAAGGCAAGTTTGTCCTGTCTTCTCTTATGCCAGAAGTGATGTGAAAACAAGAAGAAAAAAATGTTTCATCCCCTGAGTTGGGCCAGTAAGCAGTGCTACCTTTTCTGAACAGCAGCCCCATGGGAGATCCTGTTGATTCCTGTATTTATTATGGATCATTCGGTCATATGAATCATTTACTAGAGTTACTCTGTCTCCCATCATACCCTTATTCCTAGCAAGGGAGAAATACTAAATGAGGGGTTCAGAAGGCATCCATGTTCTCTCCCTTCCCCTTTGTGGCCTCTGAATGGTTTGGTACCTATAAGAGCTACGGTAAGTGCAATAACAGGAAAAGGGGAGATAGTGTTTATCAGGTACCTAATATGTGTCAGTCCCTCTGCTAGGTGATTTTACATGTGTTGTCCTGTTTAACTTAATCTTTACTGTAAACCCTGTAAGGTAAATTATCTTTATTTTGTAGGTTTCAGAGAGGTTGAGTGACTTATTTTTCTGTGGCTTCACAGTTAGGAAGGGAAGTAGGCAGGATGTGACCGGTTTTGTGACCCCACTGCTTCCAGGTCTCCCCTGCCATGAAAGAAGAGGGGAATGAAGGCACAATAAGCTCATCACCTTGGGGCAAGGAAAGAAGGAAGAAGATGGAGGGAAATGTGAAGTGAGACTAAATTACAGGGGAGGAGGGTAGAGAGACCCGCCCCTCAGAGTTAGTGACATTCTAATGTCAGATATTTCAGCACTGAGACCCATGGGAAGAAGCCAAAATCTCTGGCATCAACTGCACAGCGGGAACTGTGGCATCAGAGTCCCAGCTATAATAGATCCCAAGCTAAGCATCCCAAGTTTGAGTCCGTGTCTCTGCATCCTTCTCCCAAATGTACCTGCGCTCTGGCCTGCACATGCCTCAGGAAGGGTGGAGACGCTCCAGGGTGCTCTTGCAGCGTTCCGCAGACACACAGAGGCGTGTTTAGGATGAGGCTCCTGAGTGGGGAAAGAAGCTCTCCTAGTGTCTCCTCAGAGTGCTTCCTTAGCGGAGACATCTCCACCCAATTCAGGAGTGATGGAGAGCTGGGGGCTCTGGAAAACAAGAGCAGGGAGTGAAATCCACGTCAATGCCAACTGCAAAGCTCAGAAAAATAGTGCATTGGGGTGGAGGGAAGGAGTTAGGGCGCGGGGTAGGAAGGAGAAGGGAGTGTGCACTCGCAGGCGCTGGCAGGAAGAGCCCCTGGCAGCTCTCTGTTGTTCCAGCGGAGAGGAAGTGGTTGCCATCCTGAGGAGCTGAGTCAAGATAACGACTGTTTCAGGCATTTTACTTACAGATGTTAGGGTTTCCCATTTATGTATGTCTATATACCGGGGTGCCAAAAAAATGTATACAAACGGGCACTTTGGTCAATGTTGCTCAAGCAGTAGTTTGCCATAATCAGAAGTGTCTGGATGCTGATGGTAATTACTTTGAGCACCTCTTGTGACTGCAGAAGTCAAACGTGACTTGTATTCATCTTTTGTTATCGGTATATATTGAGTATTACAATTTTAATACAGTTTTCCTTTCTTAAAATGTGTACACATTTTGGGGGGCACTCTCTGTGTATATATGGGACTTAATTCCTTTGACCAGAAATGTTAGCACCTGCCCAGGCACGGGGCATGAGAAGTGAGTAAGAATAGTCCCCACTGTTAATGAATAGGTTTATTTTTCTTTCCTGCATCACCAGGTTTAGGTATTAACATTTATTCCATTTTCTGCAAATCACAGCCTCATTTTTTTATTTTTTTATTTTTTATTTTTTATTGGGGAATTGGGGGTATGGGAACAGCGCTGGGGAATTGGGGGAAGCAGAACAGACAAGTTGCTGTC